CTCAGTATATAAGCTGGGGGGAGTTGGCCAGGGGGCAGCGATCGCTGCTCGGGGACTGGCTGGGCATCAGTCGGGGCGGGTGGTGCGGTTGCATCACGTGGTTTTTTTTTTTCTTTCCCTGACTTTTTGTATCTCTCTCTTTCTCTCCCTCTTTCTCTCTTTGTTTTACTTTCCATTACAAGTTATTATTGTTGTTGCTGTTGTTATTATTATTATTTCAAGTATTAAACTGTTCTTATCTCAACCCATGAGTTCTCTTACTTTGCCCTTCCGATTCTCTCCCCCATCCCACCGGGGGCGAGGGGGGGGAGGGTGAGCGAGCAGCTGTGTGGTGCTCAGTTGCCGACTGAGGTTAAACCACGACAACACCCCTTTGCAAGGGGAAGTTTCCAGTTGTGGAGAAACTGGAAGTGTCCCGTCTGCACCTGAACAATTTTTGCCAGTTCATTCTTTTTATTTATCATTTGCAATAGCACAAGCCCACAGTGTGATGAATCCTTCTCAATCCTACATATACAACAGCAAACACAGCATACAGCAATGATCCCTGCCCAGGGATCGTGGCAGTGCAAGGCAGGGAGGCACACAGGGAGCACCATGACTCTAGACACATCGGTACAACAGCCATTTTGACTGCAAATGTCAAAATTCTTTACCTTCTCCATACTGACACCATCTGCTGCTACACAGAAGATATGGGTTGTTTATTCAGTCAGCTCTTTCTTGAGGCGCTAAGGGTTACCTGCAGAAGGCGATGGCCAGACATTTCATTACCTATGGATGCTTCACTCCAGTCAAGCTAATACAGAGCAGATAAGGACGGCTTTTTGTGAGACACCTATGATGTGGTGTGGAATTGCTTATCAATGCTTGTACCTCCATGTATATATACATGGCAAAAACTTGTTAGCTGCAGCAAAGCTCCAGGTAAGTAGCGGCAGAGGAGTGTTGAGCAAAAAAAGGATGGTTCAGCACTGATCTGAGAGCTGCCTGCCAAGCCGTGTCTGCGCTTTAGAAAGGAGGTAGCATGCTGCAGGTAACAGGGGCATGCAGCACCTTGCAGAGCTGAGCCCTTCAGGCTCTGCACCTCATGCCTTGTAAGTCCTTGCTGAGCACTACACAGAGGCCCCCAAATCCCTCCTCTGTCCTACCCTCAAAGACTGAGGACATTGTGCTAATTTAAGGGTGGTCAGTGCAGCTCCGTGGCTCCTGGATTAGAACCGCCTGCCTCTGCGACACTGCTGAGAAGATGCAGAAGCCATCAGAGCTGGCTCCAGCTGGCCTGCAAGGCTCTGCTTCACTGGTGCAAACACCAGTGCCTCCTGGTGCCATCCTTGCCTCCAAGTGTCGATGCGTTAGGTGTGTCGGTCACGTACCTCCAGGCATACCCCGCTATCTGCTACTGCTCTGGCTTTTGGAGTTCCACCGCTGATTGCTTAATGCCCCGCTCTGCTCAGTGCTCTTAGCTGCACACGTGGGGCAACCGGGTTCAACACAGAGCGACACAAGTTTCCTCATAAAATGTAATACAATACTGGGGGAAGCATGCAGAGATTTAAGAAATTAATGTGATTTAAATGCAAAAAGATTGCACATATAGCACAGAGGATGAAAAGGCAGGAGCAGTATCATCAGAACTGTCAGCTGGAGGCGATGCTGGCTTTTCGGAGGCTGGCTTTTCTGAACAGATTACTGTTTCTACAAATCTCAGTCACTTCAACTATGAAATTGAACGCCCAATGGAAACCTTTAACTGTGAGGGTTCTTGCTGCCTCTTTCTGAATGGCTACAGTTTCACTGTCGTCATCATCTTCCTCAGATGGAGCAAGATCCATCATGGGTGAAAAATGGAAAAACAGAGTTAAAAACTGGGCATTCAGTTTCATAGATGAACCAGCAAAAATCCTTTTGTATTGGAGCTGCTTGTTCTTTCAGGGTTGTTTCGTATGAATCCCCGACTCCTACAGAGCATTTGCATTAACACGCCTGAAGAAACCACACAGCTCTACAAAACAAGCACCAGCAGAAATGCTGCAAAAAGCAACAGTTTGTGTGAGCTTGCAGACAGGGGCACAATACAGACATCTCCTCTTTGCTCCACAGGGAGAGATATATTCAGTTTACTCCCTGTAAGTCTACCTCCAGGCAAAAGGGCTGGGAGATGAATCCAAACTGAAAGCCACTCTTCAGACAGCATGGGGGATCTCAGGGTTCATTGGTTCCAGCACCAGTTTCCAGGATCCCAGTAACACAGTTTGTCCCTGCTCCAACTCTGCCACTCCAAAAGCTGCCAGAAAGTACTGAATGGTTTTTAAAAAAACTCAACAGGAGTTGCCTTTCCAGCAAGATGGAGGGCATTCAGGGAGCAGCATCAGTGAAGAGGATGGGGCGAGGGGCGCAGGATGAGTGGCTTGGGGATGGGGCTGAACCACCGGGGTGAGTAAGAAGAGGGTGGAGGTGAGGAAGCCTGTAAGTTGTTGTAGGGTGGGACTAGCTAGTGGCGTTTGTTTGGACATCCGTTCATTTCTCACCAGCTAATACATCTCTGCCAAATTCACGCCTTCATTAAATGCTTTAGTAAATCAGCCAGCATGTTTAATGAAAGAAAAGGTGTAAAAGGAAATACTAGTTGCTTGACTCATCCTAAAACTCCAGCTCTCCTTCCCTGCCTCAGGGAACAGGGAGCATAGTGAGGGTGGTCTGTCTGGTCCCAGGGTGAATATACCAGCACCCAGTGTTTAAAGGGGGCTGCAGCAAGATAGAAAGACTAAATACTTCCAAAATTTCTGCCACAGCTCAGGCTAGTTCCTCTTGTGGTCCTGAGCAAACAGTGATTCCTGAAAAAAACACTTCCCTTTTCTTTCCACAACGAGGTGCTGCCTGGGCTAGGGCTTTTTCCAGCGGTTTCCAGGACAGCCTGACTAAGCCCACGATTAAGGTATCATTACATCCCAGAACTATATAGGATTATGATGTGTTCAAAATGGAAACAGCAGCACATGATGATCAGTCGCAGCCCTTGCACACAGGACAGCAAGGAGCTGTGCGGGTCAGGGATGAGGGGCTTGCCAGCAGAGATGAGAGGGTGAGTGAAACGAAAATAAGCAATAGGTAGTACGTGTATTCCTGCTGATGACACAACTGGCGTGAGGCAGGTACTGTCTCCCAGTCAGAGGAAAAGAAGCCCCACCTGCTTTGTGCACTTTGAGTTACAGAAGACATCAGAAATAGCTCAAGCAGCAGATCTATACCAGCTAACACAGGAGCCGGACAGTGACCGAACCAGTCTCTCCCATTTCTGTGCTCTCTTGCTCCATGACTCATCATCTGGCATGTGGCACTCTGCAGGAGCCACTTATAGGCCATGACTCACGAGCATCCACCGAGGTGATCTGGGCTAGAACCTGCTCCTCCTTCTCCCCACCAGCTGTCCTCTGCCCCAGCCCCCACCACATATGCTCCTAATTACTATATGCAAATCCACAGAGGAGAAAAAGACTAATATTTCTAGCTGCTAATATCACACCGAAATTGCTGCTGAATCAAACTGCAGACACAGTAAATCCTTTCTTACCACAGACACTCTAGCAGCAGCAGCAGCAGGAGGAGGGACTACGCTTCTATAGCACCTTTCTGCCTGAGCACTCTGAAAGCATATTGAAGATCTTACAAGAGCAGAAATTACACAATTCCTTTCTGAAACATGGGTCTGCCTGGCTGCTGGAGCCTGGGTGCTGCAGGGTTCCCAGAGCACTCAAGAACCCACACATAAAGGAAAAAAATCCTATAAGCAAATGAAACTGCTGGGCAGAATCAGTAGCTGAAGATGCCAAGCTTAACTCCTCCTTAACTGCACAGCTTTGGCCAGGGCTTAGCTGCAAAGCAGGGCTGTCAGCTGGCTGCCTCATGAACGTGCTCCTTTTACACATCTGCCCGATGGGGGACCCTAGGAACCAGAGGCTGCAGTTGTGTAGTGACAAAAACACAGCCAGGAGTTGTGGGTGAACCAGAGTCAAAGCCAGCAAAAGTGTGGACTGAAGGTTTTCCCACCTTCTATGCCTGGGAGCTGTGAGCTCAAAACTCTCCACCATGGGAGGGTAGGGAATAAAGGGTCCTGCTGAGGGAGTCAGGCATCAAACTCAGCGCAGCTTTGTGAATCAAAGCCCGCTCTCTTGACCTGTGCCTGCAGGCATACAAGATGGCAAAACTGTTCCCAAAGTCTGTTATATGGCTACACGCAAGGGTGAATGAGCAGCCGTTCTTGCTCAGGTGTGCACTGCAGGGGCGAAGGCTCCCAAGTTGATAGCAAGAGGTGCACAGGGCACAGATGCTTCGCAGGGATGGAGATATTCTCAACAGCACTGGAGATTTCAGGGGTTGCTGTGTATCTGAAGCATCCCTAGAATTACTATACTTTGGAAAGACCTCTCAATGAGAGGTCACAATCACTTCCACTGGGCCCTCAGGACTTTCCTCCCTAACATTTACTGGAATCTGGCTTCAGACAACTTGGTGTTGCCCAGACCATGGCAAAGGAGAGGCTCTACTTGTCCAAGGCTTATGGAAGGATAATTTCAGAAGCAAGTTTCATCTGCACAAAGAAAAAGCACATGAGAATAGCTCCATCTCAAGTAGCTCTAGATCCCCTACCACCTTCATGACTTGGGGAAAAGAGATGATGGCATCTTGGCCTGTATCAGAAATATTGTGTATCAGAAATAGTGTGGCCAGCAGGAGTAGGGAAGTGATGGTGCCCCTGTACTCGGCACTGGTGAGGCCGCACCTCGAATACTGTGTTCAGTTTTGGGCCCCTCACTACAAGAAGGACGT